GCTGTCTCCCCAGTTCTGGAGGTCAGAAGTCTGACCCGGGTCTCACTGGCTGAAGTCAGGGTGCTGTTCCTTCTGGACACTCTAGGAGAGAATCCACTTGTTGCTTGTTCCACCTTCTAGAGGCTGCCTGCCTTCCTTGGTTTGTGGCCCCTCCTCCATCTCCAAAGTCTGCTGGATAGCATCTCCCTGACCCTGCTTCTGTTGTCATGTCTACCTGAGCCTCTGCTCTGGCCTCCTCATCCACTTGGGAGGATCCTTGTGATGACATTGGGCTCACCTGGATAATCCAGGCTGGTCGCCCCACCTCACAGTCCTCCACCGAAGCACATTTGAAAAGGTCACATAGGGATCCCTGGGTGGCGCAGCGGTTTGGCGCCTGCCTTTAGCCCAGGGCGCGATCCTGGAGACCCGGGATCGAATCCCACGTCGGGCTCCCGGTGCATGGAGCCTGCTTCTCCCTCTGCCCGTGTCTCTGCCTCTCTCTTTCTCTCTCTGTGACTATCATAAATAAATAAAAAAAATAAAAAAAAGAAAAGGTCACATAATTCACAGGTTTGAGGGATCAGGACGTGGACATCTTTGGGGGCTGTTGGTCCCCCTGCCATCGTAGTCCATTAATGCCACGTGACACAGAGGCAGATAAGGTTCCAGACCATTTCTAAGCTCTGCCTTTCCCCCGCCCTGTGTCTTATCCAATAAGCTCTGTAGACAGGCCTGTGGCAGAGAGCACAGGAGGGCAAGAACCCTTGGGGGTTTCAGAGCAGCGTGAGAGGAAGTGCCCCTCAGTCTGTCCCAGGCCCTCAGCTGTAGATACCTGGCATCTCCAAGGTTTGGGAGCTGTCAGAGAGGCGGCAGAGGTGGTGAGCTTCCTGGCGGCTCTTGGCCTCTTACAGAGAGCTGGCGCTGGGGTCCTGAGTCTCGGCCTCTCAGAACACGCTCTCAGTCCCCTTCCCATGCAGGGACCGTGACTGCTGTGGTCATGTCTCAGCGTCAGAGCTGGCAAGTTGCTGATCTCCTGGGACCCAGAGAGAAAGGGCAGGGTTTTTTTTAAAGATTTTATTTATTCATGAGAGACACAGAGAAAGAGGGAAAGCAGACTCCCTGGGGGAGCCTGATGCAGGACTTGATCCCAGGACCTCAGGATCACAACCTGAGCCAAGGCAGATGCCCAACCACTGAGCCACCCAGGCCTCCCCTTAAATGGCAGGTTTTTTTAATGCTTCGCTACCCTGTGTTCTTCACAAGCTGAAAACAGAAAATCTCCCTTGCTAATGCAGTAACCTGTTTTAGTCATATAGACAGTCTTAGAAGCAGCTTCTTGGCCTGTGTATACATGCCCCCTCCAGAAGAAAAACGTGATTTGTTTTAGACGTTGCTTCTTATTCTGTACCAGTGCGATTTCTCCACCCAAAGACTCTGAGAGTATTAAGTGGGCACACTCTGCCCTTGGACTTAAGGTGGCATTTCCTGGAGGGCTGTTAAGCAGAAGAGTACCCAGACCCTACCAGAAATTTCTATCCTGGGCTTACATCCACGTGACATAATTAATGTGGGCAAGTGACCTCCAGCTGACCACGTTGGCAGGCTCAGCGGTTCCTCACAATCTCCCTGAGAGACAGCTGCCCCTGTGCCTGTTTGCAGATGAGGAAGCCAAGGCACTGACTGTGTAGTTCCCGGCTGGCCGCCTGCCCGGTGTACCCCAGAGCCTGGATTCCAGGGTCCTCCCCAGGGCCATCTCGGGGCTGCTCCAGGCCTCAGAGAGCCTACCTTTCTTTCACGGAGATGCTCAGTAGGGAATGGCTGGCTGTTCCCACTTCGGCAGCTCAGAGAACTGGGTGCCCTCTCCTGGCCTCCCTTCCCCAGGGCTGGGAGGTGGCCTAACACCGTGAGCCTATCCTGGGTGGGCTCATGGCTCCAAGCACCAATGATAGCAACTGTTTTCCCCCTTTAGCTGATCACACCCGGTCTTTTAAACAAACAAGCCATTCTTTGGGTGGACTTGGACATGTAACCTAGTGGAAATGTCCCCAGGCAGTGTTTCAGTGACCACTCAGCCAACACTGTCCCCCACAGAGAGCCTTGGAGCACGTGGCTACTGTGCCCAGCGGGTCCTGATCCCCCGTCTGCAGCTCCTTGGGCAAACAGAAGTGAACAAGAACACAAGCCGGCCACTGATTGGCATCCTTCCGTGTGTCAGGTGGTCTCCCAGCATTTCAGGCTGGGTTCGGGGTTGGCCTGGCAACCCTTTCTGTGGTCCTGTGGTCCTGCCCCTGTACCTGGGATGGAATGAACCAGAACTCATGGGAAAGGTCTCCATGAGATCTCTGAGCATCCTGCTTCTGGCTTTGTGTCCAAGCCCCATGTTCCCCAGTGAACCACGTTGACATAGTGGCTCTTCAGCCTCACCCAGCCTGTATGACAAAGGGGCCAGCAGGCACCTGGTTCAGGCTCTGATCCAGTGAGAAATCACTGCAGGAGCCTCGAGGAAGGGCAGGAAGAGAAGCCAGCCCAGGCTGAGCCTCAGAGCAGGTTCTGTCCACCAGTACCCTGCACATGATGGCCTCTGTCCTCACCACCTTCCAGGCTGTGAGCACCTGCCCCCCAAGACCTCTGGCCTTGTGAGATAGGAGTGGCGGTCACTGGAGGTGAGCAGGTTGAGCCTGGATGCTGTGTGTTCTCTTAAAAGGCACGTAGACCCTGGCTGAATGTGGTCAGTTGTACTCTAGGCTGGTCCACGGACATGTCTGTGGTGCCTCGTTCATGCCAGGTTCACTCAGACACAGGCTGTGACCATGCTTCCAAATGAGTGCACCTAAGGGGTCATTCAAAACATAGCCTTCAACTTGGGGACACGGAGCACCTCAGGGATGTCCTAACCCCCCGAAACCATACGCAGAATTGATCTGTTACATTTCTCTCAGCAGAGTACCCGTGGTGGCGATCACAAGTTCTCAGAGGGTAGAGGGGACACGATTATAGAAAGAACATAGGGAGGGCAGCTCGGATGGCTCAGTGGTTTAGCGCCGCCTTCAGCCCAGGGTGTGATCCTGGAGCCCCGGGATCAAGTCCCATATCGGGCTCCCTGCATGGAGCCTACTTCTCCCTCTCCCTGTGTCTCTGCCTCTCTCCCTTTGTGTCTCTCCTGAATAAATAAATAAAACAAGAAAGAAAGAAAGAAAGAAAGAAAGAAAGAAAGAAAGAAAGAAAGAAAGAAAGAAAGAAAGAAAGAAGAAAAGAAAAGAAAAGAAAAGAAAAGAAAAAAGAAAGAACACAGAGAGGTGCATTTGTACCTTTCCCATTCTGCTCTGGGTGCAAGGAGCCACTGCATCCCGGCTGCTGACCCTTCTGTGATTTGGGCAGGGCCTAGTGAGCTTATGAGTGGTATGTCCCTGTTGGTCACGGAGGCAGCTCCCTCCAGAAGAGTGGCAGGACTTGCCCACTGACCCTTGACCCTTGAGCCGAGCCCCAGGTGTGTGCTGGGTGCTTTGTTCATGACCCTACCCTTATAGCTCACATAATGGCACTTGTCACTGACCTTCCTTCCTTCCCTCCCGGAAATGGCTGTTCAGGACATGAAGCACTCCCTGTAAGTATGACACTGGATGTGGCATGGAACATTCTGGTACTTGATAACCTGAAATAACTGCTTCTAGCCTGCCCACACACTCACCCCTAACTCACCAAACTGTCTTGACTTGTCCGTCTTTCCGGGTCTTTAAATGTGTCTTGTAGCACTTGTCTCCTTGGAGCTAGGACCTCAGGGTTCCCAGGGTTGTTGAAAGGTCCCCACAGCCAGCAGTGGTTCCAGGGAGTGGGGCTGGGTGAGCTCTTCTCGTAACACCTTGCTAGGGGTGCAACCAGATATCAGCCCTTCCTCTATAAATCCCTGAGGATTAGTGCTGCCTTGTGGTCCAGAACCATACCATTGGTGATGATAATGATTGCGCTGAGTGCCTTCTGCCTTGGGGCACAAGGTTAGCACCTCGTTCGTCTCGTGTCTTCCTTGTAGTTAGCCTGTGAGGCAAGGCATGTCTGTTTATAGGGAAAAACGGGGCTCCGTGAGTTGAAGGGAGCAAGGCTAGATGGTAGGCAAGAGCCCACGTACAGGAGGGTGGGGGCAGAAGAGCCACTCTAGGTTGGGAAGTAGCTGCCAGGGTGGATAGTCATGACCCAGAGGCCATCCCACTGGGGATACAGGGAGGTTGGGGTTGAGGTTGAGAGGGAGCGGGTCACCTGGAATTGTGTTACAGGAATGTAGGACTTTGGACTTCATCATAATCAACAAAGGAAACCACATTAGTCCAGGCGGGAGGTGAGCACCTGGGGACCCTAACCTACGACAGGGCCATGGGTATGTTGTGGGAAGGTAGTGTCCATGGCTCCGAGGAGAGCTCTGGTCCCATGAGCCAGCCTGATGAGAGGAGAGCCTGGACGTAAGTGTAGGAGGATGTGGGCTGAAGTACACACAGCGGCTCTGGGGATGTAGGAACATGGTCAGGTGAGCGCTGGCCTTCCCAGGCATCCAAGGCTGCCATCACACTGGCATCAGGAACAGTAGCTGGGATGCTGGGAAGGTACTAAGAGGATAGAAGAGGTTCTTGAGTGGCGCTTAGACAAACATGGGGCAGCTGTGTGGCACAAGTAAGGCCATGGTGTGGACAATGTGGGTTGGCTTGGCCTCAGTGTTACTTTTGAAGAACAGAACCAGCTCACCCTGCAGCCGCCCAAAAGTAGGTTGGGGGCCAGGTTGCCAGGTGACAGCCACCACTCTGAATGTTCACAGAAATGTTGAGAGTAAACGCCTGCTCCCGAGGAAGGTAAACATTCAAGGGCTACTAACGAGGCACTGTGAGAGCTCATCGTTTTGATGTCCTTGTAGTTGTAGACGCTGCCTAACCAGGTGTCCTCTAACGCCCTCAGTGACCCTGCCATCCGTGCCCTCCCCTGCACCCGGCTCCTCCATCTGCGCCCTCGGCTAACCCCCTGTGTGTGCTCTGCAGGCTGTGTCATTACCATCTCTGGGCGCATGACTTTCACAAGCAATAAATCCATGGAGATCGAGGTCTTGGTGGATGCCGACCCCGTGGTGGACAACTCACAGAAGCGCTACCGGGCTGCCAGTGCTTTCTTCACCTATGTGTCCCTGAGCCAGGAGGGCAAGTCACTGCCTGTGCCCCAACTCGTGGTGAGTGACCACCTGCCCTGCTGGGGGTGCCCAGTCAGCACGCATAGAGCTTCCAGGGAAGACTGAGTCCTATGAGTACATTCTGGGGAGGAGAGCCCTGGCCTGGTGGCTCCCTGGCCCAGTGACCTTGGCTGCACTGCCCCTGTAGACTATAAGGTCAGACCAGGCAGACAGGACACGAAACCTCTTCACCAGCTCCTTGCTCTGGGGGTTACCTCTGGAGGGTTAGTACAGAGCCCAGGGGTTCCCAATACTATGTATGAAAGGGGCTAAGGACCTTCCCAAGGGACAGTTTCTCAAGGAGTCTTGGCCTGAGTGTCCTGCTTGATGGGGACCAGGCCAGACCCCTACATCACAGGGCTGGACCTGGGAGTCTCATGGCCCTTCCCAGCCCCGGCCACCTGCCCAGGCTCTGACCTGGGCATACAGAGAGAGGTGGCAGGTGTCTGTCCACACAGCCCCCCATGTGGGCTGCTGCCACTGCAATCCTGAAGGGTCTCGCAGCTGGAATCCCAACAAATTGACAAGTGCTGGCCATGGGGCACTTGAGAGTAAGGGAGCCAAGGTTCAAGGTGGGGACTGGGGAAGGTGGTGGATGGGTGGTGAGGATGCTCGGCTGGGAGGTGCTCGGGAACTGTGTATTGAGGGAATGAATGGACAAATGCATGCACGCTGCTTCCCGATCTCTCGAGGCCAATGATGGTTTTACCATAAGCCTCACACATCGTTTACCAGCACGGTCACAGTAGGGGTCCCGCCTGGAGCACCTGCCAACGAACCTGCAGCCCACTCCTCAAAGCCAACACCGCCCCAGCCCTGGGGAGTGGGGCCCCGCTGCTGGCTTCGCTGTCGGCCTGCAAGGACCCCTCAGACCAGCAAGACTCAGGCACTTGTGGAGGGTCGTCCTCCATCCAGTCCTGGGTGTGGGTCCAGCGCACAACTGCGCTGCTTGGGCTGCCCCTTATTTCTCCTCGAGCCACACTGCACATCTGTTGCTAGAGGCCACTCCTCTGGGGCCATGGTCTGAGCTTCCTGCCTCTATGGGGTGAGGGTGAGGGGGCAGAGTGGCCTGGGCAGGGTGGGTTCTCTTGAGCACCTGGCACTTTTGTGGCCCCAGCCAATGAAAACCTTCGTTACAGACACACTGTAACTAAGACCTCACTTCTCACACCGGCTGGGAACAAGGCTCTCCCATTCTGCTTTCTCCACATGCTGAGGACAACCCTGTGGCTGGTGGCCTGCCTGAGGCCCCCCGAGACCCTGTGTGTGTAGGGGGTGTTAGCACACAGGCCACCATGGTAGTGAGACCCGTGGTGTGGCTGTGGGGCCTCCTCTGCAGCCTGTCTCCACCTGCCCTTTGCCAACTCTGCCTCTCTCCCATAGGGTCTCCACATGCACCTCAAACATGATTTATCCTGAACTGAACTCGTTATCTTTCCCCCAAAAAACCCCACTGGTCCTCACGGGTTCCCTCTACTCAGTGAGTCTGAGAATGTGCCTGGTTCCTCTGTCCTCTCTCTTGCTTACCCCACCATACCCACTGTCTCTAGGCCGCATCCATGGCTGGATCCCTGCTCAGCCCTGAGTTGTCCTGCCGCCTCCATTCCTGCTGCCCTTGCTCCGACCCCACACTGGAGCCAAGGGAGTTTGCTAAAATCAGATTTTCTCCCTTTCCTACCTGATCTGCTCAGCGGCCTCTGTGCCATCAACACAGTGCAGCACAGCAAAGTTGGCTTTTCTGGCCTCGGCCTCCAGACTCATTCCTGCCTCGGGGACTTTGCACATGCTGTTCTCTGCCTGGACACCTTCCCTCAGACCATCATGGAGTCAGCTCTTTCCCCTGTTTTTCAGAGAGTTTGTCTTTAGATGGTCTTCCCTGCACACTCAAGATAAAGCCTGACCCCACCACTGCCCAGTGACTCTCTCCTATCCCCATACCATCTCTGGGCACCCAGCACCATCTCAAACCCTCTGGTGCATATGCATTTGTTTTGGATCCAGCCCTGGCCTGGTATGTGACTCCAAGATGCCCAGAACAGAGGGGCTCAGGAAAATGCCTGTGGGGGCCTCATGGGCTTGCTCACCTCTCCAGCCATCTTTCTCCACCCCGCTGCTCAGTGCCCTGCTGGACAGTTGGCAGCTGCAGGTCCCTAAACACCCCAGGGCCTCCCTCCCCTCACTGTTGCAGGCACGCTCATACTGTCAGGCACACACGTGAGTGTGGGTATCCTGCCACCTGCTTCTGGTCAGAGCTCCAGGAGTTCTAATGGTGTGGTCCCTGGCTCGTATTTGGTGCACCTGTTTCTGCATCTGTACTGGGGGGACAGCCATAGTGCGCACCACAAAGGATGGAGGAGGATTCTGGGAGCTTCACACTTGTCTGCTGCTGTTCATTGTGCTCTGCTGGAACTGCTGCCCTCCTGGGGGGAGCAGGTAGGAACACTGGACTACGTTAGATGCTCCTGAGGGTCACAAGGGAAGAAGCAGGAGGTAGGGGATCGGCATTCCCTGAGACAGTTGTCGCTACCTGAGTAGGTCCCTTCCAAGGAGGGCCTTGTGGACAGGGCTGCATTGCAGCAGGGCCTGGTGCTAGGGGCAGGGGAGCTGTTTCCCAGAGACTATCCAGGTAAAAGGAACCAGGGACTTGAGCCCTGGGGGCCAGAGGTGGCCACCCATAAGAGGGGCAAGGGGACAGGAAGACACCTGAGGCCACCCAGCTGATCCTTGCCAGGCCCAGCCCCGGGACTTAGCCTTCTGACCACTTGCGCTGTTTCCTCTCCTGTCAGCTGAGTGAGTACAGAAGCCTACAGGGCTCCCCAAATGGGTATGAGAATAAGAACAGTCAAGGAGTCAAACCATCTTCATTTTGCAGAGGCCCATTCTGAGTAAACATGAATTGACAGGGTTTTCTGGCAAGGCCCAAAGTGCTAACCATTGCTGACTTGTAAGGCTCACCCGCCCAAGAGCTCAGCAGCTGCTGTGGGCTTGTTTGAAGGGGCCGTGGCTGCCCCTGCAGCCCCCACCTTACATGCACCCCAGAACTCAGCCCACTGGGTAGACGAGTGCTGCGGCTGAGAGGGGTCCAGTCTCCTGTGGAGAGTACCTGCGGTCAGGGAGCCCTTTGTGGGGGTACTATGACCTTCACAGACACAGGAAACAGTCCTGGGTCTGGGCCAGTCTATAGATCCAGCAAGCTGTCTGTGCCCTTTCTAGAGACCCATGACATGGGACAGGGGGATGTCAGTCCTAGGTGAGGGCCAGCCCAGAGAAAGAGGTACTGGTGCCTAGCAGGGCTGCAGAAGGATGGTGGGAAAAGACACCTGCTTGAATGACGGGGACAGTGACCAAATCCCTGGGTTTAAGGGGCCAGGGGTTAGCGATGTCCTCATTGCTGATCCTGGATGTTACTGCTTGCTAATTAAAGATGGTCTTTGATTCTTCACGAAGGTGTCCTGGGGCCCAGCCTCTGGCAGGGAGGGCTGGTGACACCCCAGAGAGGGGTTTTCAGCTCCAGCCTGTCCCTGGCACTCGAGGACCACCATCTGAGCAGCATCTGTCTCCCAAAGCCCATGTGCTCCCCATAGCCAATGTGTGTGCCCATGGGGGGCACTCAGCCCTCCTCCCCTCCTCGCCACCCCCACCCCCTGCTGTCAGCAATTCTTCTACCTCCCGTCTATTTTTAGCTTCCATCCCCAGGGCCCAGCTGACACGGAAGACAGCGTTGCTGTTTGGGGTTTTTCTTGATGAATATTTTATGCTAGGGAGGCTGCACCGAGTCCAGCAGCTGCCGGCACTTCCCAGGCTAATCACTAAAGAGGCAAATGCAGAGCATGGAGCCAGGCTGCTGGTCTGGACACCAAGTCCAGGGCCCCTTGCTGCCCTGCCTCCCTCTGAAGGCCTCTCTGTGGCTATGACCTCTGACCTTGGGGGTAGAGGACACGCCCCAGATTTCACTGAGCGGGGCTGGAGAGGGGCCTGTGCAGAGAGATGGAGGAAGCCACTTGGGGACCTGGCATCAAGTTGGTCCCAACACCACCTATGGGTGATTTTTTTCTAGACCTTTTTAGTTTCCAGAAACGTGAGGACCACCAGGAAAGGCTGAGGCACAGTGGACCAGGGCCTAGACCCAGCAGCCTCAGCCTCAGCCACTGAATGACAAGAAAGTATTTTCTAGGTTAAAACGGGAGGTGGTGAGGAAATCGGGTGGCCATCCTTCTGTCCTTTTAGAGCAAGGCTTACCCCAGCCGGTGAGCTCTACCCAGAGTACAGTGAGAACGTGTGCTCGGAGGGCACCCACCCCACCGGCCCCTTCCTGCCTGGGAAGACATGTCAACATCCTGGATGCTCACTGTACTAGAATGACTTCCAGTTACTCCCTGACTTCAGAAATTCAGATGCACTGTAGTGCAGCAGCTCAACCCTGTTCCTGGAAGGGTATGAGCAGCCATGGTACCAAGGGAAGCTGTACTCGCTGCTTCCTTGCACAGGGGTGTGTCAGGGACTGGACTGCTCACCAAGCTTCTCTGCCCAGTGTTCTGTTCTCTCCCTTGGTTCTGGAGGCTTCACAGAGAGTCTGTCTTGTGATGAGATAATGCCAGGGTCCTGAAGCTGCTCCTTTCATCCAAAAGCATAGTGCTGGGGAATGTCGGTGGCCTAGGAGAATCTCAGCTGTGGGTGCCCCACCTGCACGGCCTTCACATGCTCTGCTGAGCCCAGGCTCTTCCTCTGACCATGCCCTCGGAAACTCCACTGTGTCCCTGGCTGCTCCCTAACGGCCTCTTTGCCCAAGTGGCATGTGTTTTGGAGACCATTCAGTTAACATTCACCAGCCTGGTGTCCAAATGGGAGGGCTCATGGCACCAGTGATAAACCTTTTCTTGTTAAAATGCTGGTGGTTTCTACTCATGAAATACCAGTCTTGTTGCTTCGTTGGCGTTGTTTTCAAGTCCAGGGAACCCCTTGCTGTTTTAATTTCCTTAGAGCTGGAAACCCAGAGGCGG